TAAATATATGCAACCAGTTGTGTGACATTTTAATTTTACTTTTGTCTCTTAAAATAGTGTTTTCTTCTTTGACAAAAGTAACGGTCATGGAGCAATCATTAAGTGATATGAATAATCACTTCAACAACTGATTAAACAAGTTAATAGCAGAAAATATCAGAACAATCAAATTTTTACAAAATCAGTATATTTGTTATGATACAAAAAATGAGAGTGTCAAAAATGAAAGTTACTTCTAAGTTACCAGAAGAATATTAGCATTTATGTAGATACGACTGAGGATCTGAATCCAGACTTTCCGTGTGTTTATATCATTATCTCCTAATATCATATCGTAGTTATACTTTCATTAAATAACTGTAAACTTTTACACCTGGGAGTTAAACATCTGTTAAGTTCTCAGGCCTAGTAACGACTCTTTCTCATCACCTTTCGACCTAATATCTCGATTTCAACAGTACAACATTAGAACAGAACAACAAAGTGATGCAGTCATCGCCCTGTTCTAGAAGAGATCAGTCGCAAGCTCCGTATCTTTTTCCATGTGCGTTGTGCTTTTCACTGGATTAACTTTGTCGTCCATCAGACTTATTAAGTGCCTATTATCTAGATGGAAGTCGAACCAAAATATTTGATTGCCTAACTGGACACGTTGTCAAGAGCCTCAAGACCTACTAGCGAATCACTAAAACTCAAGTTATTTATCGCCATGCGTATTTACTGTAAACTCTCTCTCTCTCGATATATTGTATGTCCTGTATGACCAATTAAAAAGTTATGTTAACTAGTCTCTGCGTAAGTCACTTCCGGTGCGTTGTCTCTCCCTCCATCCTGAATCCGTTTGCTCACACATGCGATCGTTCACACGAGAACATAATGGTTTCTGTGCCACTGTAAAGACAGTGGTGTTAGTCCTGACGAACCTTGTCATTGCGATCTTTGCCAACGCGATGTCAACCCTTCGGTCACGTGGTGCCAAAGTATAGGGAGGCTCTTTGGCATTGTCATATGATGCATCTATTGGAAATTTAGAAAAATTAATTATGCCTGTAAAAGAAGGCTGTGCTTAAATATTATGTTCATACTGAAGAAATATTTCAGATGTTGCATGATGCCCGTATTACTATTGGACATGGTGGTAGAAACTGCATGGAAAAAGAATTAATTACAAAATATAAAAATATTACAAGGGCAATTATCATAATTTATTTGAACTTATATGAAATCTGTCAGTAAAAACAGAATGTTCCTAAGAAAGGCTTGGTAGTTAAACCAATTTTTATGTAATGAAATAAACTCAAGATGTCAGGTTCATCTTATAAGTATGCAGTCACAAGCCAATGAGCAATGTAAATTTATACTCGTAAATCAAGGCCATCTAACTGTATGTTTCTATATTCAACGGTTGACTCAATGGTGAGAGAACAAGGTTTCTAAATGGACTGTTGAGTTCTCTGTTGAGACTAGTGATGTCAGTGCTGTTTCACCATTGAGCTCAATGGTCTCAATGACCTCAATGACCTGAAAGACCATTGAGTATTCAACAAATTAACATGGCGGTTTCCATGAAAAAGTAAATTTCGCTTATAGAAACTATCCATTCACTGCTGTGGATGCTGTAATAGCGGACAGATTAATGAATGATCTATATATGATAAAACGTGATTGCACGATTATGTTGGATAATTTGGTCAATATTGAAATATTAAGATTTTTTCATTTGTCCGAAATTGATTACGACCGATATTTGGCCCTCTAAGTCTTCCTAATGATATAAATATTTAAGAAATTAATTAAAATTGTTACGGAGAGACCCAGTATACAAGAAAATGATACAGATATGGGTTCATTTGAATAAAATGATTTATTTGAATAATGGTTAAGTGAGTTACTTTAATTATTTAGCAAAACAGTCATAATCGCCATCTTGAAAAGCAACCTCTGAACAAAAGCATTTCTTTTTTCTGCACAATGTGATGTCAGATCATTCAACAGAGGGACTCAACGGAAAATTCACTGTTGAGTCAACCGTTGAATATAGAAACTTTGGCAGACAGTCAAACTTTGCTGGGGGAAGCTCCATGAGGGTATACTTTGCCAAAGTCTTGTGGTAAGTATGCCTGAGCGGCTGAATGAAGTCTTGGACAGAGGAAGCCTGTGGACGAGGTTCTGATACCTCTCCCCTACATCTTTGCCATGCTGTGTTTTCTGTTTGCTGTGTGTGCTGACCACCATCAACATGTCATAATCCTGAATACGTAAGGTGCACCTAAAGAAATGGTCACTTTTCTATAGGTGCGTTTTTCAATTTCATGTTTTTGTGTGTTTGTCATTATTCTAACTGACAGTGGAATAGGAACCTTGCATTTAACATTGAAAATAATTACATGAACATGAAAACAATTGGCATGTTCATTTTATAAATCACAACGTTACCTTTTCTGTTTGCAGGTGTCTGGGGTTGGATGATGGCAGCGGGACCCAGGGAGCTGGTCAGAATTGATGGCCACTTGAACACCGAACAATATGTAAACATATTAGAACAGGCACTCATCCCATCAGTAAGGGCCATATACAGAGACACACCCATGTGGTTCGTCCATGACCACTCTCCTGTTCACACGGTGGGTGAGAGCCCAAATTACTCTAATAGACATTCAGTGGCCGGGGAGAGGTACAGACCTCAACCCAATAGAACTCCTTTGGGCTGCAATCTGTTGCAAGCCCATTCAGGTGGCAACTCCTGAAAACTTTGGCAGACAGTCAAACTTCGCTGGGAGAAGCTCCATGAGGGTATATTTTGCCAAAGTCTTGTGGTAAGTATGCCTGAGCGGCTGAATGAAGTCTTGGATAGAGGAACCCTTTGGACGAGGTTCTGATACCTCTCCCCCCTACATCTTTGCCATGCTGTGTTTTCTGTTTTTTGTTAACTAGGTGTTAACTGAAGTTACAAAAAACATTATTAAAGAAGTTAATAACAAGTTACAAACATTCTTTAATAATTGCTAAATTTTGTTGAATTTGTTTGGAACTCTTACAGCTGTTTGTAGAAACTAGGATCTTTATAAGGCCACAAAAATAAACTTACCCAGTAGGAAACAAGTTTTTGCTCTTTTTATCCAAGAGTGCCTTTTAATCTTGTGGGTTTAGTTAGACCCAAAATTTGGCAGAAGGGTGGTCATGGTCCTTGCCATCCATCTAACTGGCCAAATTGGATGGGTCTGTATATTGGGACAGCCTTTGAAAATATATTGTAGGATTAATGGAACATGACAATGCAACACACAGGCAATCTGCCAAGGTATTCCTCCCTGGAGTTCTATGGGAAAACTGATCCTTATTTGGGTGTTAATCAAGTTAAGAAAACACGGAAAACTACTTGGCTAGCCCATTGGTGAGGCACAAACCCGCCTTCAATTTATTGGTATTCAGTGTTTTTATCCACTTGGTTGGTGGTGGGCTCACTGATATATTAGGGTGGTGAGCCCATCACCACAATCTTGCTTAAAAACAAGGTGATAAAATATATCACCTTGCTTTTAATCAAAATTGATGAAGTGGATTTTGAGAACGAATGCAATTCTGAAGCCTCATAGAAAAAGCTTTGCTAATGCTCTATTTTTTTTTTTCTATAATGAAGCAAAATAACTGAAAAAAAAGCTTAGTGGCAACGTCAATAAACAGCTTAGATGGTGGATGTGGCAGTCAACTAAGCGAGTCCAGCTTAGTTGACATTGCCCTCTCCACCATCTAAGCTGGGCTCGCGTTACACTTAGGAACAAGTGAGTGACAACCAAAAGGCCACATTAAGATTAAATCATGATGATGATTAATGATACATTGATTGTAGCTAAATGTAGCATTGAAAATCATTATGTACTGTACAGTACTTAGTAAATCTGTTCATAATTACATCATATTTACAAATATATGTATCTATGAAATTAGCATAAATATTTGAACTTATTAAACTCTAAATTATTTGAGTTTTAATTTTTTAAATTACTATATTTTCTGTAAACTATGTTCTAAATGATGAATATAATAATTTCATATTTTGTGAAAAAGTATTATTAAAAAGCAAAGATATTTGGAGCAGCAATATTTCCAGTATTCTTTGAATAATTAATAAATATATTAGTATTTATTCTGAAAGATGATGTAAGTTGATATTTGGTTAGCTTGTCTAGATTGTGGTTTAATTATGGCAACTGCTAAACTAATTTAATGACAGACTTGTCAGTAACTGTCCTAGTGTAAATGGAATAGGGATTTAAAAAAAACACTAAAACTACTGAATAATTCTTTATTTCTTTAATTTGACATGCTATAGTGCATTACATGTTTAAAAAGCAATAATTTATTTACTGATGAATATCCCATTTACAATTCTGATTTAATGGAATTGATGATTTTAGTGAGTTTTAAGAATACACTCTGTTGACATAAATTCTTAGCTACTTATATAAATGCAGTAAGGCAGTTATACGAATTTATCGTAAGTGTAAAAACTGGAATGAAGTGTATATATATATATGAACATGTAATAACTGGTTATAGCAAATTAACTGATTTGGCACAACTGTACAACCATCCTTAAAAAAATTATAACTGGGTAAAATATATGTTTTTTTTTTTTTTCTTTNAATCATGCACATTTGTCACATTAAAATTGAATAACCTTACATTATTTTCATTATTATTAGAATTGTATTTTAAAGGTAATAAATATAAAAAAAAAAATTGTTCTATTTATCATTTGCTGTCTACCCACAGCTTCGCCTGCATTATATCGAATTTTCTCATGGGAGTAAGATATTTTCTCGCAGTAAAATGTAGCCTATGTCAATCTCCAACATGTAAGCTATCACATGTAATAATAATAAAATTTGGCTAACATGTAATTTTATTAAAATTTGGCACAGAGATAGTTTTATAAGATAAATAATTTTATCGTTTAGACGTGAAAAGGTAACAGAGACAGGCAGACAAAATTACCTTCGAATTTATAATATTAGTATGGATTAATATGAATTTCTGCTATAAGAGGTATGCGAGTTTGAGCTCTTTCTTGAAATGGTATGCAGGAAAAACTAATTGAATAATCTTTAAAAAGATGGTATATATTTGCAGGGTGGCCAGTATTTCTGAATTGATGTAATATGAAAGACCACCAGGCACTATCAAAAGTCTTGGGAGATATCAAGACTGGTGGCCAAAATGTATTTATCATCATCAAGGAGGTATTTCACATTTTCTACAGCATGGTATATGGTGTCTTCAGATGATCTTTGTTGCTGGAATCCATATTATGTGTCATGCATTAATGTGTTATATTCAACATACCAGGTTAGTCGGTCAGTTAATAGACATTCCAGTACCTTACCAAAGATGGGCAATGAGGATATAGGTCTGGATTCATTTGGCTGACCAGGTTTTGGCACAGATTATTTTTGCAAGTTTCCAGTCTTCTGGGAATATTCCTTGGGTTAGGCAGCAGTTATACATATTTGTGAGTTGACCGGGGATCATTTTCCAGGTGGTCTTTGCAATTTTTGTGTCTATTTTGTCTAGTCTAGGAGCTTTTCCTTTTAATTTAGAGAAGGCAAAGTTCATTTCTTCATGCTCAAAAGCTGGGGAGTTGTCAGTTAGGATTGGTGTGTCCATCTCCTTTTGCAAAGCCTGCTGCCATGGTGTATCATTTTCCTCACTATCTTTAATACGGAAAGAGTCATCTGCTTTTTCTAGTATGTTAAAGAGGTTGCTGTTTGATGTTTTCTCATCATTTGTGGTAAGAATTTGCATTTTTCTAAGACTGTTCATACACAATTTAGTGAGATAGCCCCACAGATTTGAAGATGCCAAAGTGCAGAATTCTCTCCGGGAATGTATTTTAGCAGTTTTAATTTTTTGTTTGTATATTTTTTGATGTTCAAGATATTGTTGTTTTATTACTGTACGGTTGGACTCTATTCTTGCATTTCCACAAGAATTGTACATTTACCACTTGCCGAAAAGTAAGATTTCAAGTTGACAAAGCCTTCTAATGGCAAGCAAGAACAAGCCTTATTTGCAATGATTGCTGATAAATGGTATATATATATATATATATTTTTACAGAATGTTTGGACAGTCAATACAGTCTTAAGAAGAAGGAATTTAATTTTCCAAACAAATTATGATATTTGCTCCATCAGAGGCCATACCTATTGTTCTTGATAGTTATGTTTTTTTCTTGGAGACACTTTTTAAATGAAGAGTATAGCATTTCTGCAGTACAGTCCTTTGCATCAATGATAAGCAGTTACAGCAAATCTGTTTTGACATTTCCTGTTGGTGAAACATATTTTATCAAAATGCAAAGAAATTTGGTTTGTGAAATGTCAGTGAACTCATCAAGTAGAACAGTCGGTTATGCTTGCCTTAGATTATAAAGGATCTCTTCAAGTTCCATCTTTGCAATTACATTGTTTACAATTGCAGTGCATTTTGTGTGTCAAAGTTCTATATTTTTGATGATTTGTGTCAGAAGCAATATCTTTAAGTAGAGGAACTAGATGATCCACTACTTTCAGAGCTACGTTGTTCAGCAAAAAACATTTGCCAATTTTATTTCTGCAATCTTCACCTTTACTTCTAGGAAAAGTTGTGTCTGCTTTTTGATGAGAGTTGTCTTGAAAACAATCTGTGGTGTCTTCTGAACCTGCTTCACATTATTGATGTGTTTAACACTTTTGGTGTGCTTTTTTCACTTTTTCCAACATTAAGGTCTTGTTACAAGCAACACAAATTTTCACATTGGTTAGCAATTAAAAATATAATAAACTTTAAATACCAGAGAAGTTTGCCCATTTTTCAGATTTTATTTAAGTAGGTGCAATGATGAGATACATCTTTCGGGACCTATAAATAATGCAGACAAATTCCCAATGTATTCTGAGCACCTAACATTATCATATTATATATCAATAACAATTGAAAATATCAATTATTTTGATAATTTTATATAAATTTTAACTGTTTCAGGTTGTTTCACTATTAGTGATTGAAAGTTCCAGTATTTCTATTTCACACTGAACCTACTTTTTACAAAAGTAATGGTAAGTGTTAATTTTAATTGTATATTGATTATAATGTAGGTATAGTGATGACATCTTTCGGGACCTATAAACAATGCAGGAAAATTAATCCCAACGTGTACTGAGCACCACGTATTATATGAATAACAATTGAAAATAATTATTTTGATAATTTTTATAATAAATTTTTAACCGTTTTAGGTTTTTATCAATAATACTTGAACAATCTTGAATATGTACTGTGCCAGTGAACCTAGTTTTTGTAAAAAGTAATGGTAAGTGTTAATTTTAATTTTATATAGATTATAATGTAGGTGTAGTGATGACATCTTTCGGGACCTATAAACAATGCAGGAAAATTAATCCCAACGTGTACTGAGCACCACGTATTATATGAATAACAATTGAAAATAATTATTTTGATAATTTTTATAATAAATTTTTAACCGTTTTAGGTTTTTATCAATAATACTTGAACAATCTTGAATATGTACTGTGCCAGTGAACCTAGTTTTTGTAAAAAGTAATGGTAAGTGTTAATTTTAATTATATGTTATGGACTGAGTGATTAATACGGGCATTATGAATAATGACAAACAAAATTGGGCACTGTAATAAATATCAGGTGTTTTAACATAATTTATCAAATTGACCAGTCATGAATACTGCTATCACCTAGTGAGGCAAAGTGATGATAATACGTTGAGGAGTGATCACTCAATATATGCTAGCCATGTAAAGTACTATATTATTTTTCCGACTTTCCAACGATTATCGACACTACTGTGTGCCGGAAATAGCCGTTCCCTAACGGGTACTTTACGCGGATTCGCGTTAGTGTGCCAGGCCTGGACTTTAAGCGTGCACCGAATTAAATAATGACAAAGTTTGTCAATAACAAAATCAAATATTTAATTAAACTTCTAG